CACACACACATACACACTTACACATGCACACACTCATTTCATGAAAAATAAAGGCACCCCCAAACAATCTAATTCCCGACACCCTACCCACCTCTCAGAATCTCTATTAGTTTAGTTATAGCATACAAGTTACAAGTATTTCCGTTCAAATATTTTAGAATCTATCTGTCTGTTTGTTAGTGTATCGGCCAGTATAGTATGGTGAATCTATGAGAGCGAATATAAAACAAAATACTGTGTGGTGCTATCTTCAGATCGACGTCCAATGCTAGCCGGTAGAAAGGTTATGTCCTCCCCGGCTCACTACGGGCACTCTTCACCAGAGTTGCATGGCTTAGCCGCTACAGCCAAAAAGGTAAGGGAAAAACTTTGGTATACCGCAGTGGCTAAAAGTTGTTATTATACTGTTGCGTTTTCTACGTAGCTTCTGTCGTCAGCGAACACATTTTTAAAAAAAAAGGTTCTGTGGCAAAGAGAGAAAATGTAAGTTTTATCGTATCCGTTGGCATTGTGAAATTATCCAAGAGGTTAGAGCTCCGATCACTAATGGGAGCAAACCAAAGGGGAATAGAACCTAACAACTTTGAAAACCATCAGAGCAACACAAGTTGAAGAACCCCCTCCCCCTTCCTTCAATTAGCACAAGTACATAACTCAAACAACAACAACAACAACAACAACAACAACAACAACAGCAACAAGGATGTTAGACTTTAGCAATAACATTAACATCAAAACTTGCAAATCGGAGCAATATTATACATTTTTGAAAAAGAGAAGGAAAACGTATTGAGAAATGAGGAGGAGGACTGTGTTTGTGTGTATACAAGAAAATTATTTGAATTATCGGAAGCTCATTATTGACACTGGGCATGGTGATAGTGATTTATGACACACGAATTTTTCTATTGTTGGACTGTTTACTTACTTTTTAAATGAATCAAATGCCTAAAACACATTTTGCTTAAACAAAAAATAGAAATTAGAACTGTCAAAAACATACTCGTACATGCATTTGTTTTCTTTTTCTCTCTGTCTTTTTTCTGTCTGTCCCTCTGTCTCTCAGTCTGCCAGTCTGTCTGTCTTTCTGCCTGCTTGTCTGTCCCTCTCTCCCTCACTGTGTATATATTATATATTATATTCCCTCTCTCTTCTCCCCCCCTCTCTCTTCATTTCCTTTCTCTCTCTCTCTCTCTCTCTCTCTCTCTCTCTCTCTCTCTTTCCTCTCTGTCCTCCTCCTCCTCCTCCTCCTCCTCCCTCTCCCCCCTCCTCCTCACCAAGTAACTAACACAGATCACACCAGGTTAGCTGTAACCTATTTCTGCCCCTACGTCGTAAAACGCCCTCACAGGCAGCCCAAAACTGCCTGGACATGGCTCAAGTTTCCCAACGGCCATTCAAGTCGGACCGACCACCTGCCATTGACCAACGGGGCGTCAGAAAATGACCGCTGGTCAACGCCGGGTTTGTGGGTGGGGGGG